TAGCATGGAAATATATATATATATATATATATATATATAAAAATATAAAATATCAATGTAGACTTGAAAACGTGTGTGTGTGTAGGAAGTTTTACTCCAAGTAAGAATAGCATTGAAATGAAAAACACTAGATAGGAGGTGCGACCTCAGTATTTTTTTTTTTTAAATCCCCATACATTTTTTTGTTGTTGTTAATTAATAACTAGGTGGCATATACATATATACAATTAAAACATTCTTATGTGTTAAAAAAAGTGCAATTTATATCAATTTTCATTGTGTCATAATTTTTGGTGAATTTATTAAAAAGTTTTGTTGTGGGTGTATTGTATTATGTTGTTGTTGCTATGTAATGATTGAATTTCAATGTGGCATCAATTCTTTTCTATACAAGGAATGACAAACTACAAATAATTAATGCATCTTTTTCTGGGTGTGCCTATTAAAGGATTTAGAAAATTGATTAAGAAATAGATTTAATTATATTCAATATGATATTATATAGAAACACCCATACGGGTGTTCTGGATTTAGTCACTGTATAAACACACATCTCTTCCTTGTTTCTATCAGTGTAGTGACAACAGCAGTTACACCCTGCTTATCAAACTACAGATGACAACAGGAATTCATCTTACAATCTTTATTGCCAGTATTACACCAATCCCTCATTCGTGCTTTACTTGTTTTCTTGCGTTCAAACAGCCACTCAGTTTCTAGTGAGTTTCTCTTGAGGTTTTTTGAAGTGTGGTGGGCTCATCCTTCTCCAGAAAATTTTCCATTCTTTTCAGTCAATGTTACAGTGCTTGAAACGAAAGATTAACTTCTTTCTTTGTCTTTCTCTCGCTCCTAACACAGAACCTGACGACCCTGTGTCACCTTGATCAGCTTCTCTTGGTGACTCACATCAACCTCTCCTCCAATCAGCTGCTGCGGCTGCCATGAATGATCACACTGTTGTGGTTTAATGCCTCTGTCAACACACACACAGGTGCTGGAGGCCGATGATAATGCTATTGAAAGTCTGGAAGGACTGTATCATCTGCCTAAACTAGAGGAAGTTTCTCTGAGGAACAACCGTATCCTTTTCTCCAAAAAATCCAAATGTTTTATAAGAAACTCCATTTCTGGTGTCAGAGCCAGTGCCTGGTTTGACCATGTTTCAAGGATTCAGTATTCTTCATTAATAAACCGCTACAGATTATGTAGGATTATGGAGGGTCAACAAATCTGAAAAGGCAGCATAAGAAGTTACCGAAATCTGTTTCCCATGTCTATTTCACGAAGAATGGCTTTAATGTTCTCTGAAATTACTCTGATGATAATCTCCTCTGTTTCATACTCTAGAAAGCATTTTATTTCAAGGGTCTTTTCCAGAATAATATATAGTTGTTTTTGAAATACAGTACCCTTTTTTTGTAGCAAAGATGCATTAAAATGAGCAAAAGTGACAGTAAAGTAAAGTTATAATGTTTCAAAAAGCTTCAATTTCAAAGAAATGCTGCTCTTTTGAACTTTATATCCATCAAAAAATCCTTAAAAAAACAGTGTTTCCACAAAAATATTGTATATTATTATATTGCTCATAATATAGTTGTGTTTTTTTCAGAGATGTATTAAATTGATCAAAAGTAACAGTAGAGATAAAGGATTTCTTTCAGATAAATTCTTTTGACAATTACAAACTTCATTTTGAGGAATCCTAAAAAAATTCAAAAATATTGAGCAGCACAACTGTTTTCAACATTGGTAATAATCGGAAATGTTTCTTGAGCAGCATATCAGAATGATTTCTGAAGGATCGTGTGACACTGAAGACTGGAGTAACGATGCTGAAAATTCCGCTTTAGCATCAGAGGAATAAATTTAATTTTACTATATATTCAAATAGAAAACGGCTATTGTAAATTGTATTTCACAGTATTAGTGTTTTTACTGTATGTTGACCAAATAAATGCAGCCTTGCTGAGCAGATTTCAAAAACATAAAAAAAATCTTGCAACCCCAAATTTTTAAACAGTAGTGTACATAATATATTTAAATGTCTCTTTTAGCAGAATCTGTAATGCACTGTATCTCAGTATGTCTTGTCTGAATGTTAGTGTGGTACTCTGACTGAACCATAAAAAAAATATTTCCTTAACGCATCTTTTAGAAATCTGTAAGCTGTCTGATCTTGAATCATTGGCGTCCTGCACCAAACTGACCAGACTGGACCTGCGTGGAAACCCTGTCCACAAAACTGCCAACATAGAGTCTGAGCTGAGCCAGCTCCTGCCACTGGTTACTGCTCTGTCCCTTTGATGTGCAGCATTAGCTGCTCTGTGTGTGTGTGTGTGTGTGTGTGTGTGTGTGTGATGCAGTAGAGACTAATTAGAGCTCACTAACCATTTCTAAACTGTACCTCATGTACTGGACCTAAAGGGATAGTTCAGCCAAAAATAAAACGTCAGTCATTTATCTGTATTTTGGTAGGCTGAATGATATTTTGATGAATGTTCATGCTGCTCGTTTCCATGCAATAACAGTCCTAATGTAATGCAAATGAAATCAGAAATCAGAATATTTTCAGTGCTGTTATTAGATGCGCTTAACTGGCAAAAAAAAAAAACCGGTTTGGAAAGACTTTTTTTGAAAATTGTATTTTTGGCTCAACTGTGCCTTTAGAAACGTTCAGCATCTTGTCTGTATGTTTGTGTGATAAATGACGGTTCACATTTCAAATAAAGATTGACCTATACAAACTCCACACTGCATGCTGATAGAGAGAGAATCTGCTTTTAGCTCTTGAAGTCCTGAGGGTCCTGTTTTGGGCAGAGATGTTGTTCTTGCAATGTATCAGTGAAGATGCAAATATTCGGCTATGAGTTTCTTGTACTGTATGAATTAGACTTTTTTTTATTTTTTAGCTCTGCAAAAGTCAAGCATTTGTGGTGTGAAAGCTGCAGGTATGAGTCTCCATGTCAATAAAGAAACATGTCTCTTCCCTATGTCTCTGTCTAACTGGTTTCTATGGGGACCTTCTACTGTAATGTTAGTCTGTGGGGTCTTATAATATACAGTTGTGCTCATAAGTTTACACACCCCTTGCAGAATATGCAAATATGTGAATAATTTTAACAAAATAAGAGAACATGAAAATTGCAAAAAAGTGTCATTCCATTTAACTTAATTCCACATAACTTAATTTCTTTACTTATTTTTGTTTTATTTGTATGGATGGATTACTTGGGTTGTTACCGACATCTGGTGAAAATTTCATGTCAACAGCACCTTTAGAAACATTTACTGGGAAAAATTGTGACGTGTTCAATACTTTTTTTTACCCACTGTATATACAGTATACTCCACAAGACAAAATAATTTAATTGATAAAAATGACCCCGTTCAAAAGTTTACGTACCCTTGAATCTTAGATGGTTGAAACGCTCACTGATGCTCAGAGGGAAAAACCATGCATTA